CATTGGTTTCTGCTCATATTTTTCTTTCTTCTGCTTACTTTGGCTTTAATTTGCTTTTTTTCTTCTTTCTTATGGTAGGTGCTTAAATTACAGATTTTAAATATTTCATCTTTTCTTATATATGCATTCAATGCTATAAATCTCCCTCTAAGCACTGTTTTCACTACATTTCATGTATTTTGAGAACTCATGTTTTCATTTTCATTTAATCCAAAATGTTCGTTTAATCCAACATATTCTTTGAGCCATGTGTTGTTTAGAAATGTATTGTTTAATCTGTCAGATTTATAGGATTTTCCAGTTATCTTTTTATTACTGATTTCTAGTTTAGTTCTCTTGTAGTCTGAAAGCATAATTTGTATTATTCCTTTTCTTTTGCATTTGTTACATGGTGTTTTGTGGCCCAGAGGGTGGTCTGTCTTGGCTTGGGCTGTTTTCAAGGAGAAAGTTGCCAAATATTATAGGGCCTAGACAGTTTATTTTAATCTTCAGATTAAACACTTCTCTCTCTTGGCCCTGGCACACTATTTGGGCCAGTCTCTTACACAAGGACATCTCTCTATAAGCTGTCTGTTGATGCTGATGTAAGTAGTAGTGTAACTGTAGAGGAAATACTCACACAGATTGGAGTAGATGACAGACATAACTTTAAAGGCCATTTATTAGACACTTAGTATTTGCCATCACTATTTATTTATATATTTATTTATGAGATGGTCTGGCTCTATCACCCAGGCTGTAACTGTAGATGAAATACACAGAGAGTTTGGAGTAGATGACAGACATAATTTTAAAGGCCATTTATTAGGCACTTAGTATTTGCCATCACTATCTATCTATCGATATATCTATCTGTCTGTTGATCTATCTATATACAAGATGGTCTGACTCTGTCACCCAGGCTGTAGTGCAGTGGTGTAATCTCAGCTCACTGCAACCTCCGCCTTCCAGACTCAAGCTATCCCACCTCAGTCTCCTGGGTAGCTGGGACTATAGGTACACGCCACCACACCTGGCTAATTTTTGTGTTTTGGGTTTTGGGTTTTTTGAGACAGAATCTTGCTCTGTTGCCCAGGCTGTAGTGTGGTGGTGCAATCTTGGCTCATTGAAACCTCCTCCTCCTGAGTTCAAGCAATTCTCATGCCTCAGCATCCCAAGTAACTGGTACTACAGGCACACACCACTATGCCTGGCTAATTTTTGTGTTTTTAGTAGAGGTAGGGTTTCACCATGTTGTTCAGGCCGGTCTCGAACTCCTGACCCCAAGTGATCTGCCTGTCTTGGTCTCCCAAAGTGCTGGGATTACAGGTGTGAGCCACTGTGCCCAGCCTTTTTTTGCGATAGTGTCTCACTGTGTCCAGGCTGGTCACAAATTCCTGGGCTCAAGCAATCTGCCCGCCTTGGCCTCACAAAGTGCTGGGATTATGGGCATGAGCCACCACGCCTGACCACTTTATATTTATTGTCTCAGTAAGTTCTTCCAACAATTCTGTAAGTTGTAGGTACTATTATACCCTTTTCTACAGATAAGGAAACTGAGGTTCAGAGAGATTAATTTATACAAAGTCACACTATAGTAGATAATGGCAGGAAGTGTCAAAATCTGGTCCAATTGATTCTGAAGCCTGTATTCTCAAAAACAAACAAAAAACAAGCTGTAAGATACCATTGGCAGATACGGAAAATTGAAGTTGTAATGCTGTGCCTTGGATTAGTTTCTTTCCATGACTATAACAGCATCACTTGTTAGCAGCAGACATTCTAGCAGCAGACGTTCTAGTAGTGGTGCTCAGAGCACCTACCCTGGAGTTAAAATGTAGGATATGTTTATCTAGCTTAGCGTTTCTCAACTAGGAATGATTTTTATCCCCAGGGGACATTTGGCAATGTCTGGAGACATTTTTGGTTGTCTCAACTAGGTGGAGCAGGGTGCTACTGGCATCTAGTGGGTAGAGACCAGGGATGCTAAATGTTCTGCGATGCACAAGACTCTTCAAACAAAGAATTATCTGTCCTAAAATTTCAGTAGTGCAGGGATTGAGAAACTCTGAGTCTAACTTGTTCCATTCTGTCATTACTACATGGGAGAACCTTGAAGTCTTAGAAATCCCTCAGCAGTCTCTCAGGATTTGGTTTCTGAGGCTAAATGCCTCGTGTGTAAATACTTTCTAGCTCAGTCCATTAACCCCCTCTTGCACATTTCCTATACCTTCATCTTAGTGGCCAGAGGCCTACTAAATGGTTGGGGTTGTTTTAATAAATCAGGCTTTTTCTTCCTGTTGTTTCCAAGAGACAGGCTTAGTTGGCCTACAGTTCTTGCAGAAAAGAAGCTGGTGACACTACTCTAATCTGTTGCTGGCATCTTTAGCTCCCTAATCTGTGTTTATATGGCACAAAAAAAAATGACTGTCCCTGGTGCCAGACTTCATTCCTCCTCAGCACCCTGGCACTACTGACAGAGAGCACCTCCCTAGTCTCTTCGACATAGTGGCAACCCTACATGTTTATTTTATTGCACAGCTGTTCTCCCGAAGATGTTTCTTGAGACATGGACAGTACAGGATGCCTCTGGAGCTGGGATTTGGGAATCTTAATCGTTTGTATTCCTGTTTGCAGATTCACAGTACTCAAAAAGCATCTGGTATTATTCCTTAACTGTTTTCCTGTTTGTAGTTCTTATCCCTTCCCCCAGAATAAGCTCTTACAATATGAAGTTTGTTTTTTCAATTTATTTTCTGCCCTCTCTTAGCAACTAGCGTTTTGTTCGTCATATACTGAGAAAATCAACTTACCTTCTACCATTTGGGGTTATATGGTTTTCCGTTAAAAGCTGGAGAAAATGATAAGGAACTAAAGTAATTTGAGAGAGACTAGTGGTCAAAGGGGGATGTCAACCATCTTGATAAGCAAGCCCAGGAAACAATTTGAAAGCTCAGTGGAATTGAGCCTGGATCAGAATGAAATGGAGTAATTCCTTCCAGGGAAGTGGTAGACCTTGTAACTAAAAAAAGTGATTTTCATTATCAAAGAGGCATAGAAAAATCAAGAAAGTTCCTTTTAATAAAGTCCTTCGGGTATCTTACCCTCCTCATGACCCAGAGGTTCAGCAAAAGTCAGATATAATTATTAAAGGGGAATTTTCTGTGAAGGTTAAAGCAAGGGTATATATTTACCTCATCTGAATGATATACCACAGGGACCTCAAATAGAGATTTGAGGTCAGTGCACTCACTGACAGCACACCCCCAAATGCTGTCGTTCTCAGGTCTCAGGGAGATCATGACTGGGCCTGTGTCTTTGAATTTGCAAGATTTCAAAGGATGTCTTGTTTTGGGGGTATTCATTTATCTAGAACGGTTTGTTTTAGGCTTTATTCCATTATTGTCCTCCTAAGGAACCTTTTTAGACATTTTTTTTCCCTACTTGTCTCTCCTCCCATGAAATTTTAATATCACAGATACAATGTGTATCTATTTATATACTCTGATACTTTGGAAGGGAACAAATGATTATACTAAGGTTTTTTTTATTTTTATTTTTTGCCCCCATGAACCAATTTTTACCCCCATGGGGGTGATATTCCCCGTGTTGATAATGCATGATCTAGAAGTATCATCATTTTGGAAATGAACTGTTATTTGTACTTTTCCTTACAAATTGAAAATGGGACAAAGACAAGACTATCAATAAATGAATGCTGAGAAAATAGTCTTCTGACACAGTGGCCAGCAGCAACTGGAAGAGTGCGGAGAGTACTTTTCTCATATTTCTTGGCTTGTATGGAGGTTTTCTCTTTGAACCATCTCTTGATCATTTGGGGAAAGAAAGGGAAACACCAGGAGTAGCAGTGTGATAAATGCCACTCTCTAAAAGAAAAGAACTACAGTTCACAAGATGCTTTTGCAGTGATGTGCAGAAGAGGAAGACTAGGTGATACTGAAGAATCTGGGCATGAAATTGTCCATTTTTCCGAGGCTGGTAAACTCTAACAAGTTCAGTTTTTCAAAGTAGCCTTTGATTTACAGCTGAGAATACCATTTAGGTTATCTAGCATACAGGAATGTTCTATTCTCCCAACAGGGTTTGACTCTGTCTGATCAGAAGGAGGGTGGTTGTGTATGAAATGCACCTCAGAAGGAGGAGGAGGAAATGACATGTTCATGTAAATGAAATACAACTGCAAATTAAAGTGTCACCCTGTTAAAAAAATCCATTTTTTATTTAATTGGTTACCAAGGAAAAAAATGTCATACAGAAGAGTATATCTCAGAGAAAGTTAAACCCTGAGATGTTATAAGCAAATGTGGATTCAAGGAGGTTCTTAGGGGGTAGATATAATAAAAGATGGCCTTAATAAAAATATTCTGATGCTACAAAGCGAGGCTCATAAATTTTTATTGTGTTACGTGCCAGGGGTCCAGAAGAGATGAACGAATATTACCTTATTTGTTTGTTACTGTCTCTTTCTATCCAGTCAGCTGTACGGTAGCTGCCTTTTCCCTGGAGGGAGCCTGTTTTTGAGATGTCCTATTAGGAAGAAGTGATAAAGGAGGAGATTCTTTGTCTGAAAGAGTGCTGCTTACTATCAGGATGTCCAGGGACTGAAATGCTACTGGCTTTTCTGTATTAATGGTGTCTTCCCATTTTTATTTTTCTTTTCCCACATTTTTATGAAATTTCACCTGTCTTTTTTAGATGTCGAGCCTACCAGACCATGTATGTACAGTACCTGCCACGTTGTTGGCACTAAGTAAATGTTAAGTAACAATGGGAGGGACTGATGGATGGGATTATATTTCCACATTAAATTGTTCCCTGACAAACATACGTGGTTTTTCTGTGAGACAAAGACTTGCCAGGTGGGACTCATTAGCTTTCTTCAGCCATAGTCTAGTTTTTCCTCTTCTCTCCCCACTGCTAATCCCAGTATTGTTTTAAGTTTTGCAGTGGAAACGTTGATAAATAATATAATGTGCTGTCTTTGACTTCTTCCTCATCAGGTGCAGTGATCGGTGATGGACAGTCTGCCGTGGCCAGTAACATTGCCAATACTACCTACCGGCTCCAGTGGTGGGACTTCACTAAGTTTGACCTCCCTGAAATCAGTAATGGTAAGTCAATATCAAATGGGGGTATCAGTGGAAGGGTTATATTTGCTGGTGAGCCAGAACTCAAAAATTCATGGAGCACTGGGTTTTTCGTCATCCTATTGAGCAGTTGTTGTCTACATGCCATTTCTGCACTTCTTCTGTGACTTTCATTTCAGGTCCATTAACGAAACATCAACCATACCATACACTTAAGTCCATTAAGATCTGGATTAATCGAGTTTAATTAACATCACTATAGTCTTTCCTAAAGGGTCACAAGGTTTAGCTCTTGGATCCTACACTCCCTTTTCTTTCTCTTCTTTTCAGTTCCACCTAATCTTTAGGTTTTAGCCGGTGAACTACTAGTCCACAAACTCTTCAGAGCAGAGAAATCTTTGGTTTTGTGTCTACTTCAGTACCTTACATTGTTTGCTACTGAGGGTGGGTGCAAGACATGTTTGCTGAATTGGTTAATTGAGAGTTACAAGCTGGGCATGGTGGCTCACGCCTGTAATCCCAGCACTTTGGGAGGCCGAGGCAGGCAGATCACTTGAGGTCAGGAGTTCAAGACCAGCGTGGCCAACATGGTAAAACCCTGTCTGTACTAAAAATACAAAAATTAGCTAGGCATGGTGTCATGCGCCTATAATCCCATTATAGGCTTAGTTGTTCATATCTGAAGCCGATCTATCTTGTCTGTAAGATAAGACTTTGCCAGTTGCCTTAAAATAATTAAGATATTCTCTGTCTGTGGCATTTCCTGATATGCCAGCCTTCGTATCTTTATTCATCTCAATGGTATGGTTGATATCTGATTTACAAACATGACTGTTTCAGTTTCCTTGCTTCTAATGAAGTCTGCAGTCCACATCCCAGTTGTTCTTTTGGAATCACAACATTTTAAACCTCTCATTTCACTTACTACCTCGTGAAGGGCTCTCTCTTGCACATTTCTGAGAGTGATGGTTCAACCTCTGCTTGACTGCTACTGATGATAGACTGCACTGACAAGGTGGCCTGACCATCACTGCTACATTTGTGTTAAAATATTCTTTCAGCCAGGTGTAGCAGCTCATACCTGTAATCTCAGCACTTTAGGAGGCCAAGTTGGGAGGATCGCGTGATCCCAGGAGTTCAAGCCCAACCTGGCCAACATGATAAAACCTCGTCTCTACTAAAAATACAAAAATTAGCTGAGTGTGGTGGCACACATCTGTTTTCCCAGCTACTCAGGTGGCTGAGGCACAAGAATTGCTCAAACCTGCGTGGCAGAGGTTGCAGTGAGCCAAGATCACATCACTGCACTCCAGTCTGGGTCACAGAGTGGCACCCTGTCTCCAAAGACAAAAACAAAAAAACACAAACACAATTAATTGGGCATGGTGGCATATGTCTGTAGTCCCAGCTACTTGGGAGGCTGAGGTGGGAGGATCACCTGAGCCCAGGAGGTTGAGGCTGCTATAAGCCAAGATCACACCACTGCACTCCAGCCTTGGCAACAGAGCAAGACCCTGTCTCCAAAACAAAAAAAAAAGTTCTTTTTTTGGCCGGGCGTGGTGGCTCAAGCCTGTAATACCAGCACTTTGGGAGGCCGAGGTGGGTGGATCACGAGGTTAGGAGATCGAGACCATCCTGGCTAACACGGTGAAACCCCGTCTCTACTAAAAAATACAAAAAACTAGCCGGGCGTGGTGGCGGGCGCCTGTAGTCC